AAGTGATGGGGTGGGGGGGGCCAGAGAAGGGGAGCAGGGGGGCAGGGTTGGGCACTGGGCTCTGTCCCCGCCGGCCCCCTAGGTGGGGGTTGGGGGAGTGAGCCTGGGCCCAGGCCTCTGTCCCCACCCCCCTTGCGGCAGGTGATGGAGTGGATGGGCCTGCAGGTGGTGGCACAGAGCGGATGGAGGGGGGGGTCCCCCTGCTCCCTGCAGGCCATGAAAATGGAGAGGACAGAGGTGGGGCCATGCCTCCCTGGCCCTGCAGGCAGCAGCGATGGAGCAGATGGAGGCGCGGGGTCCAGCCTGGCACAGCAGGGGGGAAGGGGAGAGCAGGTCCAGCCCCGTAAGTGTGGGGGGAACAGGGTGGGACACAGGCTGCTGTCTCCAGCTGCCGCATCCCCCCACCCCCCCCCCCCCAGACTTCTTTGCGCGAGACTCCCCCCCCCCCCCCCGACATTTTTGACAGGCAGTTGGCTAGCATATAAGTAATAATTTGCTTCTCTTCATTGTAGATCCCCTCTGGTACTTAGGTGCCTATCCTGGACTATATCTGAATATAGTGGCTCGGCTTTGCCACTGCCTTGCACAGTCCTCTATCGCTGTACAAACTGGTTGTGAGTGCTATTAGACTATAATGACAGCATCGTCCGCCCATCGCGCACAGATGTAAAAGACCGTTTCAGGAACAAGGCAGCAAAGAAGGGGGCCCTCCAGTATTTTCAGCTGTGCTGCTGCTGTTCACATGGTAGTGCACGAAAGGCAGAGCTAAGTCGGGCCCTGTCGTGCTAGCTGCGTGTAGCAATCAGCAACCCCCTCCCTAAATTGCTTACAGACTCTTTGACAAGAAATAACAGGTGGATGAGAGAACCAATCATGCTGATATGGGCAAGGCAAGGTAACTTCTCTGATCAAGTGGGTGAAGTTTGTAGCCTTTTCGGTAGCGCCGATCACGCCTGCCTAACTATTATCGGGTTGTAGTTTTCTTTCTGGCTTGCAGGAGGAGGATGAGAGGGTCTTTATGGATTTTCACCAGGGGGGTGGGCACAGGAGGAAGCCCAAGAGTGCCGGGCAAAGCAGTGGCAAACTCCGTGCAAGGAAAAGTTTGATGCAGACATTTCTTAGTTACCCAAGAGGCTGAGTATTGCTTAGATCAGCATCTGTTGCATTGAATCCATTCTGCAAATTGTTGGATTTAGACCTGGATTAAGGAAAAGGGCTTGCGTGAATCTTTTTCTATTTCTGTTGACCTTGAGTGTGTTACTTTTTCAGGCTTCATGAAAGTCAAGAAGAGGAGCCAAACATCCTGCTGGAGTGTGACAGCACCGTGCTGGACTCGGTTCAAAAGCATTTGAAATTGTACAAGATCCGGAGGAAAGTAGACATAGACCCCTGCCTTGATCTGTCTTTGTGGGCAGTCCTCCCAGGGGAGCAGTCTGGATATGTTTCCAGTACCCTTGATAAATACAAAGACAAGACTTTGATTTTAACTCCTGATCCCAGAGCCGAAGTCATGGGCTGGAGACTGATCACGAGCAAAGAGACAAACCCTCTAGAGGTTGTCCCTGGGAGTCAGATAGGAAACACTAAGGAGTATCATAGGCACAGATACAAACAAGGTAAAGCCAGTTCTAGTTTTATATTCTTACAGACCAGGAAAATGAAAGAAATGATACATGTTTTCATAAAAAGTCTACATGCAAGACATTGGAGAAAGTTATAAATGTGAATTATTGCCAGTCTGAATGTACTGAACATGTTAGGAAACATAGTTCTTGTCTGATACCTCGGGGCTAAATTTGATTTCTGTTCTATTTTTTAAATATTTTTAAATATATTTTTCTGTTGCTAAGGTTTTGTTTTTTTTTAAAAAAAGCTGTGTGTAGGTGGGTTGATGGGTGGCATGTGTCTACAATGAAAAATAGGATTTCTCATTTCCATATGGTCAGATGTTTCCATAGTTTGAGTCATTTTGTTGAAGTTTGGACTACTACCAGTGCTGTCTGTTTTCCTGTTGCCAGGGAAAGCCTTGGCAAACGAATTTGGTCTGTTTAGAAAAGAATATGTGGCTGGATTCTTAAAGGCATTTAGGAACAGAGCAGTTTACATTTGATTTGTGATGGAAATTGTAGCTCAGATCCTTCTTCTGACATATGCTGATGGATCTGTTGAATTCAGTAAATATTAGCTGCAGTGGTAGTTGGGGGAGCAGCAAGCAGGACCTGGTCACCCTCAGATTAGGCAACAAGGGGACAGTCTTAATCAGTAATGTATACACTTTGGGCTTCAAAAGGACTAATTTCAACAAAAGTGAAGAAAAATGGAGTGAAATTGACAAGGAGGAAAAACTCAAATATAAAAATATGACTCGAGGGGGCAGAGGGGCTCTTTAAGAAGAGCTTATTAGATGCCCAAAAAGCAATGTGCAACAAAGGTAGAATAGATAATAGTCACTCTGGTTCAGAAGTTATGAAGTGCAAATTATTGATAAAGCATTTGGCAAAGTCTTAAGACTGGCAGAGATAAGGACAATAAGAAAGAGGTTTTCAAGTTGGATGACCCAAATTCTTTTTTTTTAAATAAAAGTTTTAATATAAATTGGGCTGTTTACTGACCAGCCTGTGCTTACTACATAAGACTTTGTAAAAATGACCCTTTATTGAACCTACAATCCAGCCACGTGATGAAGGTGATCAAGATACGACCCTTCCTATTAAACTGTGTACTGGTTCATTTGACCCCAGCTCTGCGTGGTGCTTACGATTTCCACAGGGAAGTGCTCCACACCTCGTGAGATCAGACTCGAACACAGCTTTTCACTTTGCCTTTCAAATCAGCCTTTGTTAAGGCTGCTCAGTTAGGACGGATGATTTCAGCCCGAGCTAACCTGTTGAAAGGCCATTCTTTTCAAATTATTTCTGTTTACAAGTATCGCCTTATTTACAGTTTGCAGGGGACAACAAGATCGACAGCCCATATACTGAAAGGTCCTTGTTGTTGGAGGAGCCCTACAGCATTTCACTCTTGATTCTTGTTTTATTTTCCCTCCAGGAATTCCTGAAGGTGTAGAAGACCTTCCTCCAGGCGTAGCCCTGCCCCTGGAATCCAACCTGGCCTATATGAACGGCATCAGTTTTACCAAAGGCTGTTACATTGGACAGGAGCTAACAGCGAGGACCCACCACATGGGTGTCATCCGTAAACGACTGCTGCCGGTTCAGCTTTCAGCTCCTCTGTTATCGGGAACCATTCCCGAGGGGTCTGATATCTTGACTGAATCGGGAAAATCAGCTGGCAAATACCGGGCTGGAGGAGATGAAGTTGGCATTGCTTTGCTGCGATTGGCTAATATAAATGAACCGCTGCATATAAATCTACCAGGTGACACCGCTGTGAACCTTACTGCAACTGTACCCAAGTGGTGGCCAAAACCTGCCAATAAGTAAATGAGGAATCGTCTGCTGCACATTTGCCTTACAAGACAAATACTGTCTCACCAGCTTGGAAAATTCATTCTCTCCCTCCTGTCCCATGCTTTTTTTTTTTCCCCCCTTTTGCCTTTTACATTTTGCTTGCAGGATGCAGTCAGGGAGGATTGTAGCAGGGTCCTTGGGATCTGGGCCAAGCATTGGCAGCAATTCAAGGGTAATGTGCTGCCCGTTATGGAGAAGCCAGCCCATGGGGTGGTGAGACACTGAGGAAAGTTCAGCTTATGGACTTTCTTCTGCATATTTCCCCTATAAACCAGATTGCGGGAGATGGATTAGAGAGACTTGTGCTGTGGATGACTGGGCTCAATCCCCAAAGATCATCCATCCGCTCACAGCACTTCTGTGGCCTGCTTTCTCCCTCTGCAACCTGCACCTTACTGACTTCTGAAAGGGAGTGAAAACAAGCCAGTTGCTGCTGTCCCTCAGGAGCTGTGCTGTGGAGGGGTGATTTCTGTACTGGCTTCCTCTCTGTTGCCCGTTGGCTTAGCCAAAGCTCCTGTGCACAGGGGTCATGTCACACAGATGCTGCTCCCCAAGTAGGTGCTTGGGCGCTTTGAGCTGTTTTCCTTTCCTTCACATGAAGTAGCAGATGAGTGCACGAGGCCTAAAAGTCTTGCTTGGGAAGGGGGAGGAGGGCTGTACTGGGTAAAGAATATTAACAACAGGGTGTTTAAAGAGGCCAGACCCTAGTCTGTGTAAGGGTGTCCAATATTAGTTGGTATGGACATATTGTAGGATCTGAGGATTTTTAGTCTACCACTTACTGGATGGATCAAAGTTTATTGTAAGTGTAGTGCTATATTGCAATGCAGAAAGGGATGATGGGAGTAGGAATCTTAGCATGTATGTGTACATATTATTTTTGTGGTATTGCACATTTTAGCAAAGAGCATGCTGCACAAATCTTTCACTAGGATGCATCTTTGCTATACTCAGGCTAAAACATTCATTGCAAGGACCTCCACAATGAACTTTCTGCAGAGCTCCCACATTTCTTGTTGTTTTTTTTTTCTTTCACTGTTAACTGTGAAGCAAAAAGCATGGATAATACTCTGCAATTCAAATCTGTAATTTGCTTTCAATACCCCGTCCTGCGAGTGAGACGTATCCAGGTTTCGAAATCCTGGTAAGTCCCCGCAGAGCCAGCAGAGGGCACACACGGCGTACACCAGTCTCTCCAGAGCTGCGCTGCCATCCATGATGCTGGTCAGAAAGGCTTAGTCTACAAGCACTTTTGGTATCAATATAGCTGTTTTGGTTGGAGGAGTGATAGTTCACTGAAATAGTTAAATTTGGACACCCCATGCTGTTTGCACAGTCACACCCGTCTACTAGTGCCCTATGCGAATAAGTTATGTTGCTGTGAGCACCTTTAAATTAGTCCAGCTATTTATTTTGCCAGCAAAATCTGAGGCAGAGCTTAAACTCAAAAGTGAGCATGGCTACAGACCGGGAGTTCTGCCATTAACGCTCTGTGGGGTAGACCAGGACTGATGGTTCTGACAGTAAGGGGGTTTTTAACCATGAGGGTGTAGCTTATAATAAAAGCAGTACCACTGTTTTTCTGTAGACCATGCCAAATATATGTACAATGAGGAAATAAATAGTGGGACTAGCTGACTTGTCCGTATAAGGAAATCCCGTAAATTGCCCAAAAATCCTCAATGAGTTTCTAAAACCTTGGGCTGCATTATTGCTCTTGCATCATTTTTACAAACTGATGCGTGTTTGTCCAGTGCGAGATGCCCACTCCTCCCCTCTATATGGATATCGTGGAAGACAGTATCAGATGGGATGACTTGTAGGATTGTGTCCTGTGAAGGGTGAGCAGGAGAGCGCTGAGCAAAGTCTGCAGTACCCTGTGACCCCAAGGCCTGCGTGCCATCTATGCTTATGTCTGCATCCCGTCTTTCCCATCTGCATAACTTGTTGCCTTTGCCTCCAAGTATTCCTGGTTGTTTTCCTGCTTCCCACACTCCCTCAACAGCTTCAAGCTGCTGCCAAGCAAGGCCTTTCTCCAGCCAGTTCATGTTGCTGTCTCTTCCTGGGGTTTACTTCATCTGCTCCACTCTGTTTCCTTCAAGCTCTCTTTGGCCAGTGCTGGTTTATGCTGGCTCCATCTTTTCATCTATCCCTGATTATGCAGCTATGTCTGTCCTCTCACCTGACAGCTTGCCTTCTCTGTGCCTTCTTGTCCTCATCCACTGGTAATGTAACCTAATCTATGAAAATGCACACGGCTCCTATAAAACGAACAGTACAATCTGCACTCAGAATTGGGCGCGGGGTGTGTATGGTATGGAGAGAAAGAAGTCCTGTTTATTCCCTGTTTGTAATAATTGTTCAAAGGGCATTTTGGCATTGCATTGTCCTCGCCATTACTGTGAAGTGGGCTGTTTCTTTGAGAACTGCTCATGTTTGTTAAAACTCCTCAATCTTGATGTAAACTAATTCTGTGGAATACCTCATTAAAAGTTAGCTATGTCAGTAATTTAAAAGAATCTCTTACCTTTGATTGCTCACCCTAAGTCAGATTTACCTAGACAAAGGTCTGATCTTTCAGTGATGGAACTGTGTTGGCATTCTTGCTTTTTAGAATAAGGGGTCTGCTCCTATTCCTGTCTACAGACAATGAAAATGTAGCCCGTTCTGGGTCCGGCCCAAAATCCACCATCTACCAAAATGGGAAGTCAAAGGTGACTTGGGAAGTGTGGTATCTGTTAAGACCTGAGCCCTGTTTTAAATGTTTCTCCTACATATGATGGTATCATTAATACAGGAAGAATCGGAGAAGAAGTGGATGATTGTAGACTTCAGTACTAATAACCAGAATATGCCCTTTAGTCTGAGGGATTGTCAGTTTGGAATGGCATAGAAGGAGAAATGCATGGGTGTAATACTTGATCACAGGATGATTATGAACCACCAGGAGACGCAGCGATGGAAAAGGTGATCTGAATGCTTATCCATCAAAGTATTTCCAGTTCAGATGTAGTAGAACAGTAATGCAGTTCTGCAAGGCATTAAGGAAGCCACATTTGAATTACCATCTATAATTCTGGTCATGCATGTTCAAGAAAGGAGCTCAAGGTGGAACAGGTGCATGGAAGGAGCTACTAGGAAAATAGGGGAAATTTTAAAAGGCATCTTATGAGGGGAGACTAAAACAGCTTGGCCCAGCAAAATGAAGGCGGAGAGGGGATATGATTAAAAATACATTGGGTTGAACACAAGGGAAGTAGAAGAGCTATTGAAGCTAACGTAACATTGGCACAAGAACAAATGAGCATAAACTGTCCATGTATAATAAGCATATTATAACAAGCATAAACTGTGTTCCATTAAGAGCAAGGACTTGCACTTCCTGGTTAGTGAGGTGGCTCCTGTCTTTGTTGTCTGAATTTCCGCATGTAGTTTGGGATCAGTGTGTATTGGTTTTTATTATTATTATTAATATTTAAGAAATATACATGAAGCAAAATTACTTACCTTTTAAAGATTATCTACTGCTCTCTGAAAGGAGTAGAGACCGGGGTGACTCCCTGTCCCTGGCCAATCTAGGGAAATGTCAAAACAGCCTCACTGGTTTGACAAAGCAAAACAGAACAGCTGTTTCAAATCAAAATGAAATTCGATACGAAAGGCTGTTCTGTCGAAACCTCGAAACTCAAGGCGAAACAGAACGGTGCCGTTTCGCACAGCCCTGCTGCTTTGTTGTGTTTCAATTTTAAAGAGTTGACTCAAAATGAAAGAAATGGATATTTACCCAACATGGGGTACAAGTTACATCATGGAATCAATCTGTGTGAGACACACGAGTAACACTTGGTTTCTTACCCATCTAGGAAAATGGTTTTGTTTCTTCGTGTGAAAATAGTTTTGGGCGATAGAAAAGTTGTGTGGCTCTGTGCTGACACGTGTCTCCCTCTTGAAGAGTCTTTTTTTAAGTAGAGGTGAAAAAACTGAGACTGAGTTTACTCGTGTTCAGTCAGTTCTCAGGTTCTTAAGTTTTTTTTGCTGGAAGCAGAAATTAATCTGCAGCGGTTTAGACTTTCTGAATGTAACAAAGGAGAGACTGTGTAGACCATATTTAGGCTGGTTTGTCCGAAAAGCTTTTCCCCCCTGTCACCCATTGTGCAAAGTCTCAGAATAGTTGCATTGTACTGTTGTA